CCCTCCATCTTTCCCAGCATCAGTGTCTTCTCCAGGGAGTCTTCTCTTCTCATGAGGTGGCCAAAGTACTGGAGCCTCAGCTTCACGATCTGTCCTTCCAGTGAGCACTCAGGGCTGATTTCCTTCAGAATGGATGCGTTTGATCTTCTTGCAGTCCATGGGACTCTCAAGAGTCTCCTCCAGCACCATAATTCAAAAGAATCAATTCTTCGGCGATCAGCCTTCTTTATGGTCCAGCTCTCACTTCCATACATCACTACTGGGAAAACCATGGCCTTAACTATACGGACCTTTGTTGGCAAGGTGACGTCTCTACTTCTCAAGATGCTGTCTAGGCCTGTCATTGCCCTTCTCCCAAGAAGCAGGCGTTTTTTAATTTCGTGGCTGCTGTCACCACTTCAGATACAAGGGGTTAATACTTTTTTATTTAAAAACCCCACAACTTCTCTTAGTTTTCAAGATGATCAGTCAGTGCTGACTTGCATTCCATATAATCACACCCCAAACATTGTTCTGTGCAAACAATTTACTACTTGTTAAATAAAAAATGCTAGAACATGGGCCATGGATGAAGGACAGACCTGTTTTCCAGTTGTTTTTTTGGGGAATTTAGTACATGGTCGAAGATTTGATGTTCATATAATATGATTTTAATCCTCTTTTAGTGGGTTCATGACCTGTATGCTAAATTGTTCCAGAAGTATGTACTTTTCCTGGATAAGAGCCTTGGTTTTATGTGAACAGGCCCTGGGGCAGAAGTAAGATAATGTGAAAGGGAATATTGACATAAGAAAAGAGACAGGAAGTGGTTGAAGGTTGGTTTACTAAACCAGGGATTAAGAGGATAAACAAGGGCCTTGTTCCAGGCAGTATTCCATTCCCCTGTGGTGCAGCTGAGGAATTTTCATCTTGATATGATTGGATGAAAAATTGAAGTTTCATTTTGTATAATTTTTTAACAAAGGGAATGGTAGGGAATGTTCCTTCCCTACATTTTTTAAATTGCAAGGTGATTTTGGATCAGGGAGGGCATCTGTCAGGCACCACCTTAGCAGGAGTTTACCCAAAGATAGTTACAATAGACTGCCACCATTAAGACTAAACACCCTGACAAAAACTATGCTTTTTCAAAGCTCATAGGATGACTAACCTTATTAGAACCCTGTGGACTATCATTAGAATATAAAGGGTAGCTTAACCATTTAGTTCAACACCTGTGGAAGATATTTGATGGAGACCGAAGCATTTTGATAGACTAGCACATTCCTAAAAAGGTCGTGTTGCCTACACACACACACACACACACACACACTGTCCTTACAGTGTTTAGTCTTAAGGACCTGAGTGAACAGTTTCCTGTCTCTAATAAGACATCACTTGATGTGGGTTGCTTGTCATTATCTCTTCGTAGATCATGATTTGGCATTTTCCACCTGCAGCAAAGGTAGTAGCAATCTGCTAAATAGGTATTTCCCCCTATTCCCCCCCCACACACCCTGTCATTCACAATTCCAGCTACAGAGAACTAAGCAGTCTTTTGAAGTTGGAATCTTTTCAGCTGCTTCATCAGATGAAAAACGTTTGCAAACATCCCAGTTTAGTGCATGTGGAGTTACCTAGCATGCATATCTGAGAAATTCATAATGGCAGCTGGCTTGGAATAGAAGTATTTCTCCAGCTCTAGAAAAATGGCATTTTAATTAAAACACTAAACCGCTTACTATTCTGAGAGAAGGAGAACAGGGACAGTCCTCACCTTATTTTTATATATTTTCTTCCTGCTGCTATACTTATTTGTACTATAAACTAGTTTCTATAGGTGGCCTAAATTGCCTTAATGACAGAGGATGGAAGCCAACATTGTGCAAGCAGACCGGCTCATGCATTGAGACACCTCCCTCTTCTCCCCTGCAGCCATCTGTATGCACCTAAAATGTGCTTTGCGGGGTCCATCAACCCTACAGAAATGTTCTTGTGGAATTGTGGGTGAAGAAAGAGAGGAAGGTGATCCCCTGTTGCACGAGTAGAAGTCTGTTCCACTTGTGCATGGACAGTTTTGGATACAACCGAAATTTTTACTGTGCATTGTAGGCAGATAAGTACTGTAGTACATGGGAATAGTGGATCTATACTTTTATTTTATTTTATTCTGCTATTCTGATTGTAACCAACGGATTAATATAGTCCAGTTGATGGCTGAAGCATATTGATTATCTCAGTGTTCATAGAATTATAGAGTTGGAAGTGACTGCTTAAAAACCTCAAAGGAAGGAGAGCCCACCACCTCCTGAGGGAGTCTGTTCCATTGTCTAAAAGCTCTTACTGTCAAAAGTTATTCCTGATGTTTAGTCGGAATCTCCTTTATTGTAAATTGAATCCATTGGTTCAGGTCCCGCCTTCTGGAGCAGGAGAAAACAAACTTACTTCAGTTTCCATGTGACAGCCCTTAAGATTCTTGAAAATGTCTATCATATCTCCTCTCAGACTCTTTTCCCGGATAAACATTCTCAACTCCCTCAACTCTTAGTTTCCATACCCTTTATCATTATGTAAATTATTTTGGTTTTTTACTCAGTTTTGTTGTGGTGGTGTGTGTGTGCGCATTCATTTTAGTGATAAAATGTCAAAAGCGCCATCACTAACACCTTGAGCCATCAGATATAGAAATAATGAAATCATGCAGCTCTAAGTAGAGAATTAGCCATTCTAACATCTTCTCTAAGATTCTGAGCATAAATATATCCTTCAGGTTTTTCATGTATCAGACTGATAGGACTAGTGGTGATATTATTGTGAATTTCAACCCAAAACTTGTGGATTGTATCTAACATAAGTCATTCTTGGAGTAGGCCCTTTGAAATTAATGAACATGACTAACATGGTTCCAATAATTTCAAGGGGTGTTATCTTGATATGACTAATATTGGCTACAACCCTATGTTTATTTGTAGGCTGTGGCCCAGATCCAAAGATAACATTGTTCCATGAGCCCAAATCAAGAGTGACTTGCACTTGCTTTTCTTGAACAGAAGCCCTCTGCCATTGTAAACGGTTTATGTATTTCTGGGGGTTTTAAATTTATGATATGGCATAGTAGTCTGCTGCTCCAAGTAAAAGGGGGAAAATGAGCTGGGTGCAGGCCCCCTCCATTTGTCTATGTAGCTTTTAGAATCCTGGCCAGAGTTTCATGGGGTAAATAAAAACTTCAAAAAAACCCAGATATTTCGTTGTATAGATTAATTTGTTCTCCTTTCAGTCCATATTCACAAAAAGCAGGCACACTTCTTGTATTATTGGTGTAACATCTGAAAGGACAACATGCACATCTCTGCTGTGACAGACTGTGCAAATTCCAAATGTGTGTGTTTATGTGCATTGCTTTCCACAGGTGTGCAATTTTCCCATGCTACAACATGCAGCAAGAATAGAGGCATAAGTAAGCCTTGCCTCCTTGCACACTGTGCTGTAATGTCTAAAGCAGAGGTCACCAACCTAAGGCCCATGGGCCGGAAGCAGCCTGCGGAGGTCATTTGACCGGCCCACAAGCCGCCCCCTAACTGAGTATAGTTTGTGGAAATTCTCAGGCCTTTTTTTTTTTTAACCTGTAGCTTCTACTGCCTAACTTGTTTCCAGTTATATATTTGCATTATTTGCAGATTAAAGCCACTGCTGGCTCTAATTTGCAGATAATGGCGTTAGAACAGCTGAAATCTATGAATGGCCTGACTGATGGAAATATTCAGGCTTGAAATTGTGAGCCCATAGAATTGTGCCAAGTTTCACTGTCCATCCCCACATTGTTCCAATGAAGGTTTTTATTTACGTTTGTTGTAAACTGAGCAGTAGCGATTTGCTTCCTGACCCAGACTGTGGGCTATTTTCATTTGTGTCAGGTGGGGACAGGCATTCTTTGTCATGACATTGTGACCTCTGCTCTGTCAGCTTCAACTGTCCTTTTGTTTGCGGCAGGAGTAACCAACCCATCAGCATTTTTTAAGCACAGGCTTTTCTGTTGTATCCTATCGAGAACGCTGGAAGTCCAGTCATGAAGTAATTTAAGGAAACATTTATTAATTAGCACATGCATATTTGATGGCTAGGCTGCTAAAGCATTTATTGTTACCCGTTTTGTACTCGAATAAGTAAACTGTAAATATTGCTTGAAAAGGTTTACTGAGTTACAGAATGCTACTCATATTTTAAATACCTTCAAGTCTGTACTTCAAGCACTTTACCTACAGGTGGCTTGTGTTACTTGTATCAGAGGTTTTTACCATACTACTAATGAGAGTTGGATCCTTTTTGAAACCATAGAGTATTCATCATAGAACTACTGGAAAAATACAATGTAAAAATAAACTGATCCTAATCTCTGTGGAGTTCAGTTGTGCACTGAGATCCCATATGAGTACTGTTAACTTCAGTGTGGGGGCCAAAAGATAAGAGAATGTTTCCTCTGCATGGTTAGATCTCTTTTTATCATTTGTAATTACATACACACGACAGTTTAGTTTTACCAGGACAAGCTTCAACAAGGCTACATTCTGCCTCTCCTGTGGCCCAATGGCAATGAAAAGTTTCAAAGTGGCTCCATTTTTATTAGCCGCAGACCAAAAACTCACTAATTTTCACTATTGTTAGCAAACATGAGCCATTTTCATAAACTATTATATGAACTTGGCTTGCTTCCACTAATTACAGTTTGTCTTGGGTTTATACATCACAGCAACCTGCACTTTGTCTAAAATGGAAGCAGATACTTCTGACCTCCTCACAGCAGTGTTAGAGGCAGACATGAGGGGCTCAAGAACAGGATTTTGACTGAATACAAGTTGCAAAGTTTCTTGCTAAAAAAAAGTAAGATGATAGTAGGAAGTAGGATAGTAGAAAGCACTGTAAAATCTTGTTCAATTGTGGTGCCTGCTTGCTTAGGCTAAGCAGTCCTAAGCTTTGTTTTATTGCTCCTAACTACAGACTCTCTCTTTTAAACTTTTTTACAGGTGAAGGAATTGTAGAAGAAGAGGCGTGTTTAGGTTGCAACCATGCCATTTCCTTTTGGCAAATCACACAAGTCTCCTGCAGACATAGTGAAGAATCTGAAGGAGAGTATGGCAGTGCTAGAAAAGCAAGATATTTCTGACAAGAAAGTAGAAAAGGTATGTTTTTGCATTTGCTTCTTTGGGGATCTGTTTTAATACAAATATGTGCTCTTCATGCAGGAGAATAATGTACTGGCTATGTATTAGTTTTGTAGAGAGCTTGTGTCTCCTCTCCCTTTTCTAAAGTAATGCTTCCATGAACCCATTACTGTTCCTCTTTGTTGATGCTGGCACCCAAATGCTTCAAATCTTTGTAAGCAGCCTATGTGGACATGGACAACTCCCCAGTGCTGATGCTGTTTCCAACCTACACTAATTTATTTTCTGTCACTACTACCATCATGCCATCTCAAACCTACTCTTTCCTGAGCCTTGCCTGCATTCTCACCTGATTCTTTCCTATCTCAGACCCACTACTCAGTAATCAGTCGCTTGAGATTGCCCACCAGTATGAGATGTAAGTCTATTAACAACTTTGATGGGTGTAGTCATCTTCTCAAGCCACCAGACTATAGGACATCTCAGCATAAATGTTCTTGAAATTCCTTAGTGCAAGTGTTAGTCTGAAGTTTCTCCCTTATGTTGAATGCAGTACTTGAAAAACTTAGAAGTCTTAGTCTGTGCAACAGTTAAAGGAATGGCTGAAACATGGATCTTCACAACCCGGTTTGTAAATATGTATATTCAGTTGCTGAAAAATACCCATAGTCTCACTGATGCAGAGGAGAAACTAGTTATAGCATAGTTAAGGGATGTAAGATTTCTCTCCAAAACATTTTCAGTTAACTTCAAATATAAGTAGTGTCTTTTCCATCCCCACTGCAAAAATAATAAATAATAATAAATTCATTGTGTCTCCCTTGGAGAGATGGACAAATAGTTTTGAAACAGGTGCTTAAGCCAGAAATACTCCCATGCCGGATGACTGAATCAGAGGAAACATTACTTTGAAATTAGCTGTATGGCACAACATTTTGAAGACCAACTTGGGGACACCAGCTAGGAACATGGGAGGACCAAAAGTCTCTTTGGTAATAAGCATAAAGAGCCACATTTAACATCTCTCAAAGTCAAAGGAGTCAAGATCTGGACAGCTTGGAGTCCAGTTACACCAGGGGAGAGGAAGTAGTATATATTCAGGCAACTGTAGAGAACTGGGGTGCCAATGGTGGATGCATGCAGGAACTTAAGTAACTGTTCTGGAAGGAGTGGCACAGAAAATGTAGCAGCTATGGAAGTACGGTATATCAAATGAAGCACTGCTTTTTTTGTTGAGGAGGGGATATGGGGGGATGGCAGAAATAATGATGATGTTTTAATATACTTAAAAGGGAACATAATTTCATGAAGACAGAAATTAATTTTGGGGGAAAGGCACATTTGTAAAAGCTGGAAAAACCAAAATGGCATTAAATGGAAAAGGAGGTCTCAGTTATACTAAAGGTTGTTATAATTGAAATGCAAGCTAAGCTGCCTCCAGAGTCACTTTTGAAAACCCAAGTTTATTGCTTAATTTGCATCTATTTTTCTATGGCAGGCATGTTTCAAACAAATTTTGACCAAGTTCCACAGGTGTTGAAATGATCACCCACTGATCACCTGACAGGACCCTTGAGGAATCTATGATTAGAAAAATATGGTGAAGTTGGGGTCTTTTTTTGGCCTTTTGTTTCACCCCTTTACTTATTTTGTCATTTCATCTTCAAAACAATTTCTTGTGTGCTTTTGTGTGAGTGAGTACACATGGATATGACACATGCACACCCATTTGTACAATGGACTTATGCTTGCACCAATGGAACTCACCTCCCTCAAAAAAATCTGCTCCTAAGGGTTTAGAGCTCCCAGCATACGTTTCTTATATTCCTGTAAATTAGCCTTCTCCAACCAGATGTTAGACTTCCAACTCCATTAGTCCCAGCTGGCATACTAGTGGTAAGGGTGTTGGGAATTGTAGTCCAAAACATCTGGAGGGCACCATGTTGGGGAAGGCTGATAGTAAATCAAAGCAAACTTTAAATAATTTGTGGTCAATCGTTGAGGATGGGTTGGAAAAGCTATTTTTAAAATGCAGAATTAAAAAGGCACATCAGAGACCAGCCTTTTAGCAATCACAGCCCAATCTGCAGTCCTGTCACATAATTATGGGCTGAACTGTTAGTTTTATTTTAATTTGTTTGCTTTAGAAGGCTTTTAAATGTGACCCAGTTGGTTAAATAGCTGTTTTCTGGGATGTTGTAGGAAAATATTTACACAGCAATGTTCACGCACAGGTTAGTTTTCTCTCAGTCAACCAGTACAGTTTATAAGCCTAAAATTCCACTTTTCTACACCTTGTTGTGGTGTTCTATACTTCCAAATCTACAGGGAAATGTGGCCCTGGTTTGCACAACAGAATGTGTGGAACTTTGTTGCCCACATAGCACTGCAGGTTGTGCCTGCAAAAAGAAATTGTAACACTCTACAAAATGATATGCCTCTTATAAGTAGTATTGGGGGTTGGGGATGCACAGACCGCAAGAAATTAAAAGACTGGTGTTAATATAGCCATGCAAGTATAAACATGAATGGCATTTCCCTTTATAATGTGCCTATTCCCTAGTGCTCTTAACTTCTTGGAGTTTACCCTGTGAAGCCGTTGGATGAAAGTTACTACCCTAGCGGCGGCTAATTGTTTTATCTCTTGGGTGGTTGGAGCAAATTAAATTATCTTGAAGCTGATGTCACTTGCTTCTGGAACCAGAACTAAAATCACTGTGGGAATTAGGCATTCAGATTCAGGCAAGGGTTTAGTCCATTGGTTGTTTATGCTCTTCACAATAGGATAACTATTGTTCCACCTGGAATTATAATTAGTAATGGTGGGAAGAGTGTTGTGCCATTCCTTTCTGGCTGCAAGGAGCTTGATCTTTCTAGCTGCCGCCTTGGGAATCCAAAAGACAATATGGACTTATTTGTCTGGATGGCAGAAGCTGCTGTGGAAAAGAATTGAGCTAACTACACAGTTCCTTCTATTTCTAACGAAGCTATAACTCTTCTCACTACAATTTTTCCTCTCTTCTCAATTGGCAAAATATGATCTAATCTTCAGTGTATCTAAAGTACTACTCTTAGAAATAAGCTATGCTATTGAGAAGATGGATACCATGTTTAAAGTTTTGAAGCAGATGTAAATCATTCATTTTATGGAGGATCATGTTAAGGAAACAATCCTGTTAAACCAATCTTCATGATTGTGTCGTGTTTTATAAATGGTACCGTCTACCGCACTACCTGATATGCTGCCTCTTAAGCTTCCTTTCATTTCTTTTATAAAGAAGGGCATTCTGTTTCACATTTTAGATACGCCTTAATATGTGAAATGTGATACACAAATACACTTAAAGATTTCATGTACAATCTTCTGATCATCTTCTGAGGCCCTTCTTCGTGTGCTTCCTCCATGAGAGGTCTGGAGGCTGGCAACACAAGAACAGGACTTTTTTCAGTGGCTCCCCACTTGTGGAATGCTCTCCCAGGGAGGTTCACCTGGCGCCTTCATTATACATCCGTAGGTGCAAGGCAAAAACGTTTCTCTTTAACCAGACCTTTGGTTTATTGTCATCCAGTGCCCTTTTAAAATGTGTGGGGTTTTTTTTGGGGGGGGGTGTTATTCGGTGGTTTCTGTTTTTATTTTGATTATATATTTTGTGTTTTTATATTGTGATTTTATCCTGTGAACCACCCCGAGACCTGCAGGTGTAGTGCAGTATATTATTATTATTATTATTATTATTATTATTATTATTATTATTATTAGCATTAGCATTTTCCATAAGAATTATTTATTAACTTAGGTGTCACAAGAAAAATGTCACTGGAAAGTAACATGTGGTAGAGATTGTGGCTTCAAATTTTTAAAAGTTCTCTCTTTCCTATATGGTTGATACACACAGCTTCCAGTTTTTTACTCAAGGGGTACAATAATTACTCAAAAAAAACAAATGAGCAGCTGTTTCTGGTGTTACCCCATTCTTCTTCTCACCAGAGTCCACAGTAGCATATTGTTCACTGACCTCAGTGAATGTGTATTGCAGAAGTTTGTAGCACTGAAACTCACATGAATTGCTCAGTTGAGGATTCTCTATATATGTGCATATCTTCTGTGCAGTGTGCAATCCTGCACATTGACGTGTACATATGCAACGGAACTACTTCAGATTTGCAGTGATCTCAAAACTACTATTTACCTGGCAAGAGGTTGAACAACCCTTCTGTAAGCTAAGCATTTTTGATTGAATAGAGACCAAATGCTCTCCGCCCTGCAGTGCTCACAAAGTTCCCGTTTATAACCCCTGTGCATTAAACAGCCCTGGTCCCAATTGGGGCTGGAAAGCAAGAATGTGCAGCCTGTAGAACTGATTGCTATTTGTAACAGAGCAGGCAAGAGGGATTTGACGGTTTCTTAAATACCGTATTTTTCGCTCTATAACACGCACCTGACCATAACACGCACATCATTTTTAGAGGAGGAAAACAAGGGAAAAAACATTCTGAATGAAACAGTGGATGTATCATTTTTGTGCTTCATGCTGTGGCCACAGACATGTGATCTGATGGTGAATTTGGGGTGACCCAATGCAAAGATCCTGAGGATCCATGTGGATCTATGCTTTGTAACCACGTTTTTGCACCATTGCAGCCCCAGGCAACAGTGGGTGCGTGATTTTTGGGGGGCAGGCTCTAGCCATGGACATGCTATGTGATCTGATGGTGAATTTGGGGTGACCCAATGCAAAGATCCTGAGGATCCATGTGGATCTATGCTTTGTAACCACGTTTTTGCACCATTGCAGCCCCAGGCAACAGTGGGTGTGTGATTTTTGGGGGGCAGGCTGTAGCCATGGACATGCTATGTGATCTGATGCTGAATTTGGGGTGACCCAATGCAAAGATCCTGAGGATCCATGTGGATCCATGCTTTTTAACCACGTTTTTACAACATTGCAGCCCCAGGCAACAGTGGGTGTGTGATTTTTTGGGGGCAGGCTGTAGCCATGGACATGCTATGTGATCTGATGGTGAATTTGGGGTGACCCAATGTAAAGATCCTGAGGATCCATGTGGATCCATGCTTTTTAACCACGTTTTTGCACCATTGCAGCCCCAGGCAACAGTGGGTGCGTGATTTTTGGGGGGCAGGCTGTAGCCATGGACATACTATGTGATCTGATGGTGAATTTGGGGTGACCCAATGCAAAGATCCTGAGGATCCATGTGGATCTATGCTTTGTAACCACATTTTAAGTGGGGAGGGAAGGAAAAACAAAGAAGGGAAAAGGAGCATGAGAGGGGTGTGCAGAGAAGCAGCTGGCTAAGAATGCAGGAGAGGGATTTAACGGGAGGGAGGAAAGAAAGACAAAAGTTTCCCCCCACCCAAGCACCCAAACAAGCCAGCTCTCTCTCTCTCTCTCTCTCCCCCACCTGCATGTTGCCTGCTAGTCCCTAGACGCAGCACCGGAGCACAGAGAGGAATTAGAAGGAACGACTCTGCTTTCCCCTCTTCTTGCCTGGAGGGGAGGGGCTTTCCCTGCTCTTTGTTCCGTTTGAGCAAACACAGCAACGAAACAGAGGCGGGTGGGCAGTAAGACCCTGAGGCAGAATGCAGGAAAGCAGCCACTTCCTCTTTTCAGGTTTCCCTTCTCCGTGACTCGCGATTTGATTTTTGTCTGATTTTTTGGCTCCAGGGACCACACATTCGCTCCATAACACGCACAGACATTTCCCCTTCCTTTTTAGGAGAAAAAATCTGCGTGTTATAGAGGGAAAAATACAGTACCTGTTTTTCCTGCTTAATATAGCACTGCTTATGGTCTTTAACAGCTGTTTTTCATGTTATGCCAAAGAACCTGTTGAAACAATAGGAAATGCCAGATCATTAATCCTACATCCTCTTAACCAATTTGATGCTGACAGCATATGTAAGTGTGCACTAAATCTTTTCAAACGTGAGTTGCAATTTCCTACTCATTGGCAGCCTCCCTGCTGTATCAGAAATCCTTTTGACCAGATCAACTCCTGTTTTGAGTTTCTGGAAAGACTGATGATCTCATGGCTTAAAAATACTGTGGGTATTTGAATTTTGGGACAGTTCAGTATTGAACTCTTCCTATTTTTGAGCTCAGAATGACATTTCTTCCACAACTTCCCCCTTCCAAAGCAAACAAGCCTTGTTTTTTGTTTTTGTGTGTGTTGTTGTTTTTTAGAAGAGAGAGTGATTAATCAGCATGAAGGAAATGATTCTCCTAAATATCCTCAGGAATATCACTTCCTCCTAGGGAGCATGGAATGAATAGTTTTCTCTACCTAGAACTATTATTATAGAAAAAGAGGTGCCAGAACTCACCATGAACACCTCCCTTTTTCTCTTATGATGGCAGTGTCATCCACCTGAGAGGTGCCAGAACTGAGTTCTGGCAAGTTCTAGCTGAAAAAAAGTCCTGCTTCCTGACTGAGTTCTAGGAACAGAGAACACCTCAAATTCCATGTTTCTTGATGAAATGATGACATTACAAATAGTGAGAGGTTGGAAAGCCCTTTCTCTCACTTGCGAGCTGCCCCTACTGCCACATCTCTGCTCTTCTCAAACAGATGGCCTTGGAAGGCGGCATGTTTCACCTATTCGTTTAGGGTGGCATTTTCTTGTGATGTTGATTGCAGGTAAATTTGGCAATGGTGGTTTATTGGGTGAGGTTGGAAAAACAATCAACATCCTTAGGTTTTAGATGTCTCCCCTGCATGGTGTGGATTTTACTTCCAATAATGTAGGAGTGAGGAAATAATATTAGGGGTTTTTTTGTTCTTCAGCATGTCACTTTGTGTTAGGCTATCTCTGGACAATTTTGTGTATGTTGATCTATTTCCAGCTTCTTGGTTTACCTCAGCTTTATTTTTAAACTGCCACTGTGCTGGTTTGTGGCATATATAATTGCTCTTGGTGCAGTAAATATTTACTTAGTCATAGAACAGACCTTGCTAGCATTCTGACTCCCCCGCCCCCCTTCTCTCTCTAACCTTTATTCAGTGTGTAACATCCTTGACTTTCAGCTAAAGTATGGCATTCTTGGTCCTTTTGTGGAATATGTTCAGATGACAGCTAGCTTCCCCCACCCCAACTAAATCGTCCCAATTCCCCCCCATTGTAGAGTGCCATGGGATTACCAGTTATTCTGTAGCTTAGTCACTCTCGCCAGGTTGTGGGAATGTGGCACACTGAACTCTCATCACCACCCCAGGATTTTGTGATCTGGCTGAACTACACCAGTGAAATTGTGTATTTAAAAAATGTATTGCATTTAGCCATCTGAAGCTCTCTGTGTTTTCAGCACATAACAAAACCACTTAACCAATTAGGAATAATTTTATTCTTTCAGTGTATAACCAGGAGGTAGGTATGCATAGATGGACAGAAGTTGGGGCTGTAATTTTATCAGTGAAATATGTGTTGATGTTCATTTTGATATCTGTTGCATGTTTTGGTGCTCAAGCACTTACTAATGAGTAGCTTGGTTTTGACTTTTGAAACAATTACAACTTTTATGTTTTTCCTTGCTCAGGCTACTGAAGAAGTTTCCAAAAATTTAGTTGCCATGAAAGAAATCTTGTATGGCACAAATGAAAAGGAGCCTCAGACAGAAGCTGTTGCTCAGCTTGCTCAGGAGCTATACAACAGTGGTCTTCTTAGCACCCTAGTAGCTGACCTACAACTCATTGATTTTGAGGTAAGAAAATGTTACACAGTTTCATTGCAGCTTTAGTTTCAAATTCATGTTGCTTTAGAAAACCATGTTCCCCAAAGAGATCTTCCTAATCTGTAGTTTGGAAAGTGATGGAGAATATATGCTCACACATAAAATGTCTGGATTTATTAATTACCGTATTTTCCCCTCTATAACACGCAGATTTTTTCTCCTAAAAAGGAAGGGGAAATGTCTGTGCGTGTTATAGAGCGAATGTGTGGTCCCTGGAGCCAAAAAATCAAGCAAAAGTCAAATCGCTAGTCACGGAGAAGGGAAACCTGAAAAGAGGAAGTGGTTGCTTTCCTGCATTCTGCCTCAGGGTCTTACTGCCCACCCTTCTCTGTTTCGTTGCTGTGATTGCTGAAACGGAACTAAGAGCAGGCAAGCAGAGTGTCGTTCTTTCTAATTCCTCTCTGTGCTCCGGTGCTGCTGGGGGAGAGGGAGAGAGAGTGGGGGAGGGAGAGGGAGAGGGGGGGGAGAGGGAGAGAGAGGGAGGGAGGGAGGAGAGAGAGAGAGAGAGAGATGGCTGGCTTGGGGGGGAACTTTTGCCTTTCTTTCCTCCCACCCGTTAAATCCCTCTCCAGCATTCTTAGCCAGCTGCTTCTCTGCACACCCCTCTCATGTCCCTTCTTTGTTTTTCCTTCGCTCCCCACTTAAAATGTGGTTACAAAGCATAGATCAACATGGATCCTCAGGATCTTTGCATTGGGTCACCCCAAATTCACCATCAGATCACATAGCATGTCCATGGCTACAGCCTGCACCAAAAAAAGCACGCACCCACTGTTGCCTGGGGCTGCAATGGTGCAAAAACGTGGTTAAAAAGCATGGATCCACATGGATCCTCAGGATCTTTGCATTGGGTCACCCCAAATTCACCATCAGATCACATAGCATGTCCATGGCTACAGCCTGCACCAAAAAAAGCACGCACCCACTGTTGCCTGGGGCTGCAATGGTGCAAAAACGTGGTTAAAAAGCATGGATCCTCAGGATCTTTGCATTGGGTCACCCCAAATTCACCATCAGATCACATAGCATGTCCATGGCTACAGCCTGCACCAAAAAAATCACGCACCCACTGTTGCCTGGGGCTGCAATGGTGCAAAAACGTGGTTAAAAAGCATGGATCCACATGGATCCTCAGGATCTTTGCATTGGGTCACCCCAAATTCACCATCAGATCACATAGCATGTCCATGGCTACAGCCTGCACCAAAAAAATCACGCACCCACTGTTGCCTGGGGCTGCAGTGGTGCAAAAACGTGGTTAAAAAGCATGGATCCACATGGATCCTCAGGATCTTTGCATTGGGTCACCCCAAATTCACCATCAGATCACATAGCATGTCCACGGCTACAGCCTGCACCAAAAAAAGCACGCACCCACTGTTGCCTGGGGCTGCAATGGTGCAAAAATGTGGTTACAAAGCATGGATCCACATGGATCCTCAGGATCTTTGCATTGGGTCACCCCAAATTCACCATCAGATCACATAGCATGTCCATGGCTACAGCCTGCACCAAAAAAAGCACGCACCCACTGTTGCCTGGGGCTGCAATGGTGCAAAAATGTGGTTACAAAGCATGGATCCACATGGATCCTCAGGATCTTTGCATTGGGTCACCCCAAATTCACCATCAGATCACATAGCATGTCCATGGCTACAGCCTGCACCAAAAAAAGCACGCACCCACTGTTGCCTGGGGCTGCAATGGTGCAAAAACGTGGTTAAAAAGCATGGATCCACATGGATCCTCAGGATCTTTGCATTGGGTCACCCCAAATTCACCATCAGATCACATAGCATGTCCATGGCTACAGCCTGCACCAAAAAAATCACGCACCCACTGTTGCCTGGGGCTGCAATGGTGCAAAAACGTGGTTAAAAAGCATGGATCCACATGGATCCTCAGGATCTTTGCATTGGGTCACCCCAAATTCACCATCAGATCACATAGCATGTCCATGGCTACAGCCTGCACCAAAAAAAGCACGCACCCACTGTTGCCTGGGGCTGCAATGGTGCAAAAATGTGGTTACAAAGCATGGATCCACATGGATCCTCAGGATCTTTGCATTGGGTCACCCCAAATTCACCATCAGATCACATAGCATGTCCATGGCTACAGCCTGCACCAAAAAAAGCACGCACCCACTGTTGCCTGGGGCTGCAATGGTGCAAAAACGTGGTTACAAAGCATGGATCCACAGGGATTCTCAGGATTTTTGCATTGGGTTACCCCAAATTCACCATCAGATCACATGTCTGTGGCCACAGCATGAAGCACAAAAATGATACATCCACTGTTTCATTCAGAATGTTTTTTCCCTTGTTTTCCTCCTCTAAAAACGATGTGCGTGTTATGGTCAGGTGCGTGTTATAGAGCGAAAAATACGGTATTAAGGAACATTTAATACTTAGACAGTTGTTTGACTGTAACATCAAAAGAACTATATTGTCATAGCACATTTTATACCCAAACTATTACTGCAGTTTGACTCCTAGTCCTGGAAAGGTAAAGCACACAGGATCCCTCATGTTCAAAGGGAAGTAAAACCGCTCAAGGCATCCAGGGTCATGATCCTGGGGCCACAGTTTTGTGGATCCACTCCTACTAATTTTTGCTGCTGCCCTAGATCAGGGATGGGAAAATATGCTATGTGATTGGTAGGATTCAGAAGAACATCAGAAGAGCCTTACTTATCTAGTTCAGGATACTGTTTTCACAGTGTCCAGCCAGATGTCTATGCAAAGCCTGAAATTCATGATTCTAAATGAGACAAACTTTGTACAGTGGTGCCTCGCAAGACGAAATTAATTCGTTCTGCAAGTCTCTTCGTCTTGCGAGTTTTTCGTCTTGCGATGCACGGTTTCCCATAGGAATGCATTGAAAATCAATTAATGCGTTCCTATGGAAACCGCCTTCAGACCAGGTCCGGGGACAGTCTGTCCCCCGACCTCTTCTGAAGGCTGGGGGGGGGGGACAAGGGCTTTTCTTCCCACCCCCAGCATTTTAAAAAACCCCGGGACAGCGGAGGACTTCTCCGCTGTCCGGGGCGATTTAAAAGCCCCTGGGAAGGCAGGCAGGGGGGACAAAGACTTTTGCCCCCCGCCAGCCTTCAGAAGAGGTCCAGGACCTCTTCTGAAGGCGGGCGGGGGGCGAAAGTCTTTGCTCCCCCCCGCCTGCCTTCAAAAGCCTTCTGGGACAGCGGAGAAACGCGCTGCGTTTCTCCGCTCTCCCGGGAAGGCAGGCAGGGGGGAACAAAGACTTTTGCCCCCCGCCGGCCTTCAGAAGGTGTTCCCGCCCCGCCGCCCGGCTTCGGAGGAGGTCCGAGGACAGTGGGGAAGACGTGCTGCGCTTCCCCGCTGTCCCGGAGATTTCCCTATGGGCTTTCGTCTTGCGAAGGAAGCCCATAGGGAAATTCGTTTTGCGAAGCGCCTCCAAAACGGAAAACCCTTTCGTCTAGCGGGTTTTCCGTCTTGCGAGGCGTTCGTCTTGCGGGGCACCACTGTAGAGGGAGGGGGACACCCAGCTCATCACATGCCTGCAGACTTTTGAGGAGACGTAATACTGAGCCTGGTGATCTGGGGAGAGTGAAATTTCAGCAGTAATTTCTGTGAAAGGAGAAGCTGTGTGTGCATTGTAATGTTTCACTTGAGCAAAATGGCTCCTTTTTTAATGGCATTGCAACAGAAGCCCTGCAGGTGGTGTATCTGCATGTGTGCATTTGGAACCTTTGTGGCTGCAAAGGATTGCTAGATTTTGGTGAACTTGCTCAAGGCACGTTAGCTATGCTTATTGGTACTGAGGTGACAACTCTTTTGTCATTTTGATTATCTGAATAGTGCATGAATGTAAATTGGATAAAGGCTTCTGCTATTCCAAGAAGTAATATACAGAGAATTCCTTTTAATTCTCTGTGAAACAGAGTTGTTTGTCCTTTCAATGGATCCTGGTATGATGAATTTACTTTGGAATGTCAACTCTCTCTGGTCTCTTCTGCTTATTGTCATACCTGACACTGTTATGAATGATATTTTCCCCTTGGAGGTGCATTCCAGAATAGATTAATCAGGAAGTCCACAAAGCCACTGTGATGTCTTATAAAACTAGATCCTTGTGATCTGTTAAGGGAAATTTTAAAGTCGAAATTACATTGTATAAAGTTCTAGAAAACACTCATATGCTAAAAAACCTTATTTCTCTTTAAACAAATGACTTTCTTAAACTACATTCATTCTGTTAACCAGTTATTTCTGTACTGTCTCCTTTGAGGTTGCCTTTTCCATATATGCTTACTGAGAAACCCAGGTATAGCATAGCAAGAGTTTTTGTTTGTTTGTTGTTTCATTTTAATTTTTGTAAGTCCCCCGTGAGTCCAGGTTCTGAGGAAAAGGTGGGATATAAATTGTTTTTGTTTATTAAATTTATATTCCAAAGGGCAGTCTACAATACAAAAACACAAAATTCACAACATAAAAGCACAACAACAACAACAACAACATCAACAACATTTTAAGGCCATAGATTGTTTAATCATCCCAAGGCATGGTCAAAGAGGAATGATTTTGCCTGGCATGTCTGCCTGGGGAGAGAGTGTGTTCACAAACGGGGACTTACTGCAGAAAAGGCCTATTCTTGTTTTCCTACTCCCCAGACATCTCATGGAAGAGGCACACAAATAAGGGCCTCAGATGATGATCACAGGGTCAGGGTCTGTTCATATGGGGAGATGTTGTCTTGAAGTATTGCAGTCCTGAGCCGTTTAAGGCTTTATAGGTCAAAACCATCACTTAGAATTGGACCTTGAAACCAACTGGAGGCCAAAGCTGTCAGGCCAGAATTGGCGTTACATGCTCAGACCATCTTGCTGCACCCTCTGAAGTGTCTTCACAGGCAGCGCCATGTATAACGCATTGCAGTCATTTAATCTAGAGGTTAGCAGAGCATAGACAACAGAAGTTAGGCTATCCCTGTCCAGATAGGTGTGCAGCTGGGCCACCAGCCAAACTGTTGGAAAGCACTTTGCACCACCAAGGTGGTCTAAACCTCCTGTGATACGAATGGATCCAGAAGTACCCCTAAGCTGCATACTTGGTCCTTCAGAGGCAGTGTAACCGCATCAAGGGCAGACCACCTCCCATCCATCCATTAACAGTGCCTCAATCTTACCTACAATAAGCTTCAGCTTGTTGGCTCTCATCCAGTCCACTAATAATAAACATAATTACTTTCCAGAGGTATTGTTTGCTTATGGAAGGGATATTAGGTGTTCTAGATTTGAGGTGTGCATTTACTCTTCTTCAATAGATCTCCAGTGGTTTGTGGGCAGACAGATCTTCAGGGTGTTGTGTGTGGACCACAAAATACCTTTCATATCTATTAAAACAAATGCCCCCAGGGAGTTACTTCAACTACTGGAGTGATTTTTTTTCTTGGTTTCTTCTGAAAACTGTTTGTTAAATGCCTTCTTCTGCTTGGGTCAGTACTAGTAGCTTTTAGTCTTCACCTCTGCCCATGAAGGACGTGTGTTTACCATCATAGTGACAAAGTTACATCATTGGAAGTGGTAAATAGTTCAAACAATGATGTAATTGTGTATTATTGTGAACCATCACCAAGTTCATTATGCGGCTAACAAGGAAATACTGTTACTAATGGCAAGTCCGGAAAGAATAATGAGACCCTAGGCAAAATTGGCTGAGCTGGTGAATGACGCTTGACTGTTGTGATACGTGGGGTTTGGGTGAGGCCGCTTCCAGAAACACTGTCCTACTCATTGCCGGAACAAAGAGCTCTGGTGCTGCTTTGGGCCAGCTTACAATGGAATTGGAATTTAGAAAATCATTTGTCTTTTAAATACTTAGCATTTATATTCAGCAGCTCAACATCCAACTATTCGTGCAGGTGGGTGGGTAGAAAACTTCAAGCACACACACACACACACACACACACACACACCCTTTGCAGCTTCCATTTGGTGTGGATAATGTTTATAGACAGCTACTGGTGGCATGGGTCTCTTTCCATGATAACAGCACTTCTTCCTTGGCTGGATGCCATTTCTCCAGTTTGAGCCCATGTGATTATAGAATCATAGAATAGAATCATAGGGTTGGAAGAGACCACAAGGGCCATCGAGTCCAACCCCCTGCAAAGCAGGAAACACCATCAGAGCACTCCTGACATATGGTTGTCAAGCCTCTGATTGTTCTCACCCATATTATTTGAGACTCTTGACTGTTACCTCAGCTGCATGGGAGCTGCTCATAGTAAAATGGCTCTCATATACTGAGAGTAACATTGAAAGCGAAGGTAGCCAACACACTGCCTCCAGGTGTTGTTGAACTACTGCATGGGTAGGCAAACTAAGGCCCGGGGGCCGGATCCAGCCCAATCACCTTCTCAATCTGGCCCACAGACTGTCTGGGAATCAGCATGTTTTTACATGAGTAGAATGTGTGCTTTTATTTCAAATGCATCTCTGGGTTATTTGTGGGGCATAGGAATTTGTTCATATTTTTTTCCAAAATATAGTCAAGCCCCCCACAAGGTCTGAGGGAAAGTAGACTGGCCCCCTGCTGTAAAAGCTTCCATCATCCCTCACCACTGGCCATGTTGGCTGATGCTAATGGGAATTGTAGTTCAACAACATCTGGAAGACAGTATGTTGGTTACCCCTGGTTTAAACCACCTTGAACTAGCAAAGAAACCCTGTCAACAACATGATCTTCCTAGATAAATGTTTTAAGGCATTGCTTGTGGCCTTTTTCCTGCTGCTTGTAATAATATCTACTAACTACAAGCAAATGAATAAACTGTTCTGAGGAAGTTGATATAAAGAAAGGAGTAGTCATGAACACAAGTGTAACTCATGTTGAGGTACATGACACAAGATACTGTTCCATTTTCAAATGCCTAATAGTCAATTCAGAACATGAAGTTTACCTGCTAAGAGTGTCACAGATTAAGTCAAACTTCACATGGGATGGAAACTTCAGGTATGGTAGTTTGGTTTCATTCTTAAAGTACACAAATCATGACTGGATAAGGGGGATTCCTAGCAGCAACCAGTGATATATATAACTGATAAATTTTATTCTAGGACTAAATAAAACCATAACTCCTAAACTTGTGTCATTGGTTAAACTGTGCTTTATATATTAAAATTGGCATCACAATAGCAAATGCTTTGGGAATTCTTAGGCAATAGTAAGTGCAAGTCTTGGACAATTCAGTTTGCAGCTTTAAAGGCATGAAGATATGGTCTCGTCATGTTATCCCTTTTTATATTCACCACTGATTCTATATGCTGTATGGCTTGTGTTTTTTGCAGGGCAAAAAGGATGTGGCTCAGATATTCAACAACATTCTGAGGAGGCAAATTGGTACAAGAACCCCCACAGTCGAATACATCTGCACTCAGCAAAATATACTGTTCATGCTGTTAAAAGGGTGCGTATAGTATGTTGTATAAACAAACATAAACTGCTGTACTTCCAGCTTAAGACTAGGTCACACACACACACACACCCTCTTTCTCCTGCTCTCTTCAGTGAGGTACGCTATCGGTGATTGGAAGTCAAACTGAGCTGTGAAAAACAGATGGCTGAAGTTGCTTGCATGGTCATAGGTCTTTGCTAGAAAAATTCAACCAAAATTATGAAAGTGACTACTGACTGTATGTGGAAGAGACCTTAAAGGGCAATGGAGACACTATGTTTGAAGCTCACACATTCGTAAATGATGTGAATTACATGTTTTGTTTCTCTTTGAATAAACTGAATCATTACTCTTCCAAGGGAGTAACTAATACTTAAAACACATTGGACAGCAAATCACCTCCTATGTTCCTTTGAGGTCCTCTCCCCTTTTGTTCTTGCATTTGGTGCCTTCCCTTCTTTCCTAAGTTGTATTTGACCTGGTTCACACTTAATGCTAAGCCATACCATGGTTTATCACAAATGTGTAGGCTACTGAAAAGGAGATTGCAGCCATTTTTCTACTCTTCTGGTCCCCACTGCTGTGACTTAAGGCATGGTTTGGCTTAGCATAGAGGTGACTAACCTTTTAAAAGGACATACTTTGGCATCACAACAAGGAACCTACAGGAGTTTTCAGTCATTATATTTTTAAATAGTAGCAAGACCACAGGAGGAATGATGCAGTCACAATCTCCCTATCATGCCTTCATACTAAGCCATAGTTTGCTTTGGTGCTATGCGATAACTGAGCCTTTTTGCTTAGAAATGTTCACCTTAAAGTTTCCCTATAGGATTGCAGTTTGGCAGCGGTTTTGCACATAGAATTATCTGACTCTGCAAACTGGGCCAAGACATTTGACCCTGTGCCTATTGTTCACAGAGCAGAACTTCAAACTGAAGTCATGCTCCACAATTCACCCTGTGGCTTGTGATACACAATCCATATCCTTGTAGTTATGATACACCGTTGGCTCAGGCTTGCCCAGACAAAGGCTAATTCATTATGTTCACTCCCTGCCATATTGCTGTTTCCGCTTCTTATATTAATTGCATTGTTTCATTGAAGCATCATGCTTGGGTTTTTTAACATTCTAACAATGAAACAAATGTGACACTTTACACCAAATTAATGCATAATGTAAGTGTTGGTGCTGTTTGAAACAGAGGGGTATTTGAGATTGTTTTCTTCCGTACTTAAGGAAATGACATCTCATCCTTTTTAAAAAAAGAAAAATAACCTATGAAAAAGGTTAATTGAGAGCTTGCCAACCTTAAAACACTTTGGAAGCCTTTCACACAACAGAACCCAGCTATTTTTCTTTGCTATTTTTTCTCCTGATGATGATGATCTCAGTTGCATTTGGCCAAATGTTTAGGGTAGCTTCTGTTTTCCTTTCTCACACCAGCTAGTTCTTGGGGGAAAGCAGTATAGCATATTTTTTAGGTGCTTAGTTTTGCATGCATAAATAGCTTGATGTTCTCAGAATGAGATGCTGTGTTCCTTAACTAGGAAGATAGATAATCTTAAAATATTAGGGAGGCCACATTCACCCCACATTTCCAGACCAATCCACTCTGTACATCACCGAATGCAGCAGGAAATCCCAAACAAGCAATGTGTTCTGAACACATTAAACTATACTTACTTATTCAAATTTTGCCCATTCAAGTGTAGGTAACAGTGCATTAATCGCCACTAAATGTTAAGATTACTTTAATAGCTAAGGTGCAATCTAGGTAAATTTAAGTTCAAACTACTGAGAGCTTTTTCAGTCAAACCAACACAAATATGGTAAGAAGCCTTTGCAGATAGTGGAGTACCAGTGTAAATGCTCCTGACATTCCATCTCCATGAGGAAGCTTTGAAACCCCTTTGTAATTTATTTGGAGCTTCCAAACAATTAAATTCAGCTTTGTGTTCAGTGCATTTTAAAGGTGTGAATGAGGGTCATTAAGTCTGAAAGACTAAAGGGACACAGCTTTCTAATCATATGAAGTTTGTAATAAGTATTCCTGACCTCTGTTGCAACCTAAGCCTTTGAAGATTAGCAGCATATGAGCTTATGAACCTGACTGTCATAGAGAGGGGAAAGTAGTTGTTCCAGAGCCAAATTATCTGAAGAATCAATCTTCTCTCATACCAATGGGCATGTATGTTATGATTGTCTGCAGAGGCCTTGCTTCAAATGCCTCTAGCATCAGAAGGTAAACAAGGAGTGACAGAGGCCTTCTCTGGAATGCAGACGTATCCTTTTGAACTACCTCCCAGACTAGACTCACACAGCACCCTTTCTTGGCTATTTCATAATTTGCTGTTGCTGCTGCCACCACCGCAACGTAGTATCTTTAAAAAATATTTGCCAATATAATCTATAAACATAGATGGTGAGGAGGTTCAATATTTGTATTAGTGAATGTTGCTACATCAATCCCTTCAAAGGTATTAGAGTGTAAGCCATTGAAAGAGCAAAATTCTAATCTAGAATCTAGAATTTGCTATTCCCATAGGCCAGGATCTAACTTGCATCACTGTGTGCAAGTGGAAAGCCAATCTGTGCATGCAAAAGGAGGAAGGAGATTGGCAGTGTTCAGTTGCTGTTGTAGCTCTTCACATTGCTCCAGGGGATCTCCACACCTTTTGGATGTATCCTGGCAACCATATATTAAATGGCAATTCAGCTATTTGTGGTAGATCTTCCTGACAGCCAGGCAATTTGAAAAAATTGAACTGGTGCACAATATTGAATATTGAATATAAAATTAATAGGACATTGATCAGTGTAGTTGTAGATAGGTGAACTGTGAAAGTGTTTTGAAAGTGCAGATGTCTATTCCTATATTACTTATCAAGATTAGAGAGCATCAGTGCCACCCTAGTGAGTGTTGCCATTGAAGAGTGGCACAGAAAATGTTAAAATAGTTTCACTGAAATTGTAGAATTTATTTTACTAATAAATATTATATACAGTAGTTGCTGAAACTTTAAGGAGGTAAAAAGTTTCCTGTGATCATATTTCTCTTTCTGAGTTAATTACGTTGATGTCTCATTTTGCAGTTACGAATCCCCAGAAATTGCTCTGAATTGTGGAATCATGTTAAGAGAGTGCATCAGACATGAGCCACTGGCAAAAATAATCTTGTGGTCAGAGCAGTTTTACGACTTCTTCAGATATGTGGAAATGTCAACATTTGACATCGCTTCAGACGCTTTTGCAACTTTCAAGGTAACACATTCTGAATTTTGACAGCTACTTCATATCTATCTATCTATCTCACACCTTCCCCATGAAATTTCAGAAAAACATACAACAGATAACAAGTATATAAAATCTCATTACAACAATCTAATATCAGCAGCTAGCAGCCATAGAGCAGCATTAACGAAATCACAACAATTTCAGCAGTAAAAATACCCTTTTTTTTAACTGCTGCAGGAGCAGGCGAGCCTTGCATAACTTCCTGAAGGCAAATATAAACTGTTGCATTCTTCACATTAATTGTGTGACTTCAAAATATCTGCAGAGGTGGTAGGTTGTATCCACCTGCTACTTAGAGTAGACCCATCAAAATTAATGGACCTTAGTCATGTCAAACTTAGCTGGCTATGTAGCATACAGACAAAATTCCTTCCATTATGTGATCTATAATTGGCTGTAGTAACCCATATACAGTCATACCTCGGGTTGCGAACATGATCCATGCAGAAGGCATGTTCATAACCTGCAGCGCCGCGTCTGTGCACTTGCGTGACGTGATTCGGCGCATGCGCGTGATGTCATTTTGTGGTTTTGCGCATGTGCGAGCGCCGAAACCCGGAAGTAACCGTTACAGTACTTCCAGGTTCGGCGTGGTCTGCAACCCGAGAACACGCAACCCGCAGCGTTCATAACCCAAGGTATGACTGTAAATAATTGAGGAAGATTACATAGTATGGTTATGATAAAGTAATTAGCACCAAACAGAACGGAAAAGGTGAATATTTTCAAGACTACAGGATTTTTAAGGAAAGCATTTTCCCAGAGCCAGAAACACTACTTCTGACCTGAAACAAAATGGCAGAACATTGGGTACTGCCCAAAAGCAAGCCAAAGTGAATTAATTGTACCACATTGAATCAAAGTGTGAGGGCCTCTGTCATTGAAAGATAGAGAATTGTAATCAATGTTAGTCCTACTGAAAATAGATCCATTTAAATTGACATGACTAAGGTCCATCTTGGCTGCCATTTAGAAGAGGAATTGCCCAAAGAGAGTGGAAATGCTATTTAAATAACCGTGTAATCTCTTGTTTTCAGGACTTACTAACAAGGCACAAGCTGCTCAGTGCAGAGTTCTTGGAACAGCATTATGATAGGGTATGTACTTTTATTTCATTTTTATTTTTAATTATGTTGTTATTTAATAATGCTAATTATATCCTAATAGAAGTTTCAAGCTGTCCCTTCACAATGTTGCCCAACTGCTATCTGTTCAGTTTTTATTATTCTTATTTCCATATCAATGCAAGTTCAGTGTTTGACAGCAAACTCTTGCAACTGTACAGTTCTAAAAACGCTGGGAATGAAATTGTATATTAAGAAACCTGTTTCCTTGGTGTGCCAGGATAATCACAAGGCATGTGTGACAACCGTGCTCCATCTGCTGGTCACATCTGATAATGAAAATGTAAATCTGCTTGTGTTCCCTGTCATGTTGTTGCCTAAAGAATTGCCTGAAAATTTCCTTCAGCCTTTCCACTTGGTCATACAGAAATTGGAGCAAAATACTTGAAATGTTTAAATCTTTACATTATTTCTGTGTTTTATATTTCTGTTTCCAGTTCATTGAAATCATTTGGAACCAGAGTGCTTGTGATAGTTAGATTTTTCTTTCTTTCTCCATTCAGTTCTTCAGTGAATACGAGAAGTTACTCCATTCAGAAAACTACGTGACAAAACGACAGTCGCTTAAGGTAGAGAGACCTTACTGACTTTAATTACCGTAAATTTCGCTCTATAACACGCAGATTTTTTCTCCTAAAAAGTAAGGTGAAATGTCTGTGCGTGTTATTGTGCGAATGTGTGGTCCCTGGAGCTGACTCTCCGGAGCGAAGGGGCAAAATAGGCAAAAATCAGGCAAAAATAAGATTGGGCGGGCGGGCGGAGGGAAGAGGGAAGGCGGAAGCTGTTGCTTTCCTGCATTCTGCCTCAGGGTCTTACTGCCCACCCGCTTCTGTTGCTGCGTTTGCTCAAATTCAACAAAGAGCAGGGAATCCCCTGCCCTCCTGGCAAGCAGAGGGTTAAGGAAATGATCGAGTCCTTCTAATTCTTTCCTAGTCACACTGCGTACAGGCTCCAGCCCACCACCTCCTCCTCTCCGTGCTCTAGGGACTCGCAGGCAGCCGAAAAACACGCAAGTGGGAGAGAGAGAGAGGGAGGGGGGGGCTGGCTTGGGTGGGGTGGAGGGGACTTTTGCTTTACAATGGTAGGTTTCTCATTTCTTTTCCAAAAGCAGAGAGCCCTGCCCCCAGGCCCCCTCCAAATTACAGCTTCTCCAAGCAATGTACTGCTGGAGGGAGACAGTATGCTTGCTTGGAAGAGAAACCCTGCTTCCCTGCTCGTAAGTAACAGCAGGCTGGATTGCAGAGTGAGACATGGAAATCTCTGGATTTATATGCTGTATATCAAATATCTTAATCTATACTTTCTAACGCGGCAGGTAAATCAGAATCTCCTGAGCCAGGAGGATTATAGCATCTCTCCTCTCCCCTTCATTAAAAGCCTAATACTCTTCTTTGAAGAAGTATAACGTGAGAATGTTTTTTATATATATATTTTAAAGTTCATTTCCTCATTGTGCGCTATACACTGATAATTGCTGCCACAATAACAATTGATTGAAAATGGAATTTAGCCCCCCCCCCCATAGAGAGCTGTTCTTCAAACGTTTAGCCTTAATACAGTGGCTGATGTAATACCCTTCTGCTTCACTAGGCATTTTATATAGGGACATTAAAATTGATTTTCTACATCTTGGCAGATGAAAAAAAGTGTGTTACATGCCCTATTGCCCAAAAGTGTGCAAGCACAGAGCAAAGGTTGCAGTGACAGAGGTGGCCAAAAAAGAAATACCGTAAATAAAAAAGAAATCATACTTCGTATATCCTGTCTGTTTTTTCCTTAATAGGGACTTTTATAAGCATGGATCCACAGGATCTTTGCACTGGGTCACCCCAAATTCACCATCAGATAACATAGCATGTCCATGGCTACAGCCTGCACCAAAAAAATCACGCACCCACTGTTGCCTAGGGTCGCAGTGGTGCAAAAACATGGTTACAAAGCATGGATCCACATGGATCCTCAGGATTTTTGCATTGGGCTACTCCAAACTCACTGTCAGATCACATGTCTGTGGCCACAGCATGAACCACAAAAATCATACATCCACTGTTTCATTTAGAATATTTTTTTTCTTGTTTTCCTCCTCTAAAAACTATGTGCGTGTTATGGTCTGGTGCGTGTTATAGAGCGAAAAATACGGTATTTTGACATTAGAAAATATTATGAAGAACTTAATTTCAGCAGGTAGGACCAAGCTAGCTTTTCATTCTACATTGTCTCCTGATCAGTTAAGAAAGTTTTGAAGCATGAGGTTTTATACTTTAGGAAACCAATATTCTAACATTTAATGGTTAGTACAGGTTCTATAACTGCAAGACTTCAAGCATATTTTTTGCAAATGTTGAGTAAAAACCTGGAAAGTTTTTGTTTCCTAAGTTGCCTCATCAGTATATCAATATATTAATATACACATGGACACATACACAACCTTCCCCCCCCCAAACCTTGATTCATATCAACAGTTTCACTGTAAAAACAAACAGCATGATCTAACATTCTGCACTCATGAAGTTCAAACTGCAAAAATTTCTATGTCCACCCCAAGAATCAAGTCTTTATGCCCCCTTAGAGCTCATGCTGAACCAATGCTGAACTTTACTAGCCCATTGAGGTCCTCAAAATCTTAAAGATGGCCGTAGTGTGTTTTCTCCTTGTGCTGTAAGTCAGAAGACTTTTCAGGATTTTGTTGGCCACAGTATCCTTTAAACTCTGGTTTAATTTGGCACAAGATTGCTTGCACATATTCTCCCGTGTTACCTGCAACATACAACAAATATCAATGGATCGCATCCAATTTTTCCTGAAGTCATCCTGATTATGCAGACTCAGTAATGCTAGTTTAGGTAGCACTAGAATAGAGTTGTAATAGACTATAATACCAGAAATTCTGGCTCTTGAAAAAAATCATTGTGGCTAAAGAACAAAAAGGTTGACTAAGTTTTATAGCCCTTATGGAAAACTTCACCAGTTCCCTCCCCCCCCCTCTTGTTTTTTAGCTGCTTGGTGAACTACTGTTGGATAGGCACAACTTCACAATTATGACAAAATACATCAGTAAACCTGAAAATCTCAAACTTATGATGAACCTTCTAAGAGACAAGAGTCGCAACATTCAGTTTGAAGCCTTTCATGTCTTTAAGGTAGAAACAGCTTTTAAATGTTGTTGATAATGGTATTCAAGACTTCCTGTAAACAGAAGGTATCTAATCTTACATTGATCTAATACTACACCAGAGTGGCTTGACGTAACTGAATGAGAAGTATTGGATAAGTATTGGAAAGTGTGGGTGGGGTATGTTGTACAAAGCAAATTCTGTTTCAAAGTCAAATTTATTTTTTAACTGAATCCTTCTCTGAGACTGGCTTATCATTTTTCGTAAAACATTCAAATAAATACCATATTTTTCACCCTATAGGACGCACTTTTTCCTCTCCAAAAATGAAGGGGAAATCTGGGTGCGTCCTATGGGGCGAATGCAGGCTTTCGCTGAAGCTTGGAGAGCGAGAGGGGTCGGGAAGACATCCGCAGCCTAGGCAGCCCTGTGGGAGTTCCCGCAGGGCTGTCTAGGCTGCGGATAGTAGCCTGCTTCCCGGAGCGCCGGGTGCGCTGAAAGCACAGCTCCCGGCGCTTCGGGAACACATCTGCAGCCTAGGCAGCCCTGCGTGAGGTCCCGCAGGGCTGTCAAGGCTGCGGATAGCAGCCTGCTTCCCGGAGCGTTGGGCGCCCTGAAAGCAGAGCGCCCGGCGCTCCGGGAACACCTCCGCAGCCTAGGCAGCCCTGCGGGAGTTCCCCGCAGGGCCTCCCACGCTGCGGATAGCAGCCTCGCGCCGGGCAGACATCGGCCAGCCCCACAAGCTCGGGGGACAGCAGGGAGGCGCAGCGCCGCCATCCCGCTGTTCCTCGACCTGGTTCGGTTTCCCCGACCTGCTTTGGGGGGGGGGAATAAAGCAAAAAAAATTTTCCTTTATTTCCCCCCCAAAAAACTAGGTGCGTCCTATGGGACGGAGCGTCCTATGGGACGAAAAATACGGTATATCACATGCAGCTATTTTGAAAGCAAACAGATCCCCTACATTTTTCTGAAAAGAAGCCCCTTAATATTGCATGTAATATTTGTTTTTAATATCCTGTGACAAACAAAAGTTTCTGCATGAATTATTTCATTAATTGCACTAATGAGTATTTCTCAACACAACCCTTTGTAAGCAGTTTTGCTTGGTGCTACTTGGATTGCGAATATGCATATTCAAATGCACTAAATCATTTTGAAAATAGTATCTAGGAACATTGGTTCCATTAATAGGTTAAACTAATGAATTCCAGGAGGGAATAATCCATTCTGTTGTTTTAAGTGATGCTTGGTCCTTGTCACTAATAATTGCACAAACATTACCTGTGGGCTTTTAGCACCTTGTAGACTTGGCTCATACTTTACATAAATGTAAATATTCCTCTGAGAGTTAATATTTTCTGATATATTAACTGAACTTTTCCTATACTGACCATCTTCTTTCATTGCAGGTGTTCGTAGCCAACCCTAACAAGACGCAGCCTATATTAGATATCCTCCTAAAGAACCAGACCAAACTTATTGAGTTCCTCAGCAAGTTTCAGAACGACAGGACCGAGGATGAACAATTTAATGATGAGAAGACCTATTTAGTTAAACAGATCAGGGATTTGAAAAGACCAGCACAGCAAGAAGCTTAATCTCCTATAAACCCCTAAAATATTAAATCCAAATTCAGCATTTGCTGTTAGATATTCAGCATCAGGCACTCTTATCAATTCATGAGGAACATTACTGCTAATCTGCTGTTCAGTGAACAGTGTTTGTTTTTCTCTCTTTTTTTTTAGTCCAAGTTGACAAACCTAGCTGCTGCTTTCTTGCACAATGTGGACTTTCTTGGTATTTGTGTCTGAATTCAAGCACACTGCTTGTTTTTAGAAGTTTGGGGGGCGGGGGGAGATTGTTGGTTCATGAAAGCAAACATATAGAAGATAGTTTGGGATAGGAAAAGAAGGTATTAGAGTAGTTTAAGTGACGGGGTGCATGCTTGCAAATCTGATTCAATCCGTACGTTTGCACTTAACCTTGTATGAGATGCGAGCACAATGTTATCTGTGCATACTTGGCACCATAGTATAAGATTGTATGCCTTGATTTTAAAAAAAAATGTGCAGTGCTTTATGTGTAATCAAAGGGGAAATGTGAGCTTACTGGGATGAACAGTTGTCTTGCAAATAAAACTGATACTGAAACATAGCAACTTCTAAAGAGTGAAATCTCAGAGTTCATAAGGAAAATGTATATATGCCTTTCACTGCTTTGTAGGTTTTTTGTTTTTTGAGAGAGAGAGAGAGAGAGTGTGTGATTTTGTTGAAAATTGAGTTGTAGACTTGGAAATACATTCTAAGGGTTTTTGTTAATTTTACTTTGAAGGTATTTCAGACAGTAGAGCTTAGCAGTGACACTTTGCATTTCATTTCAACAATGCTTGTTGGTTTCTTTTGTATATAACTCCTAGGCTGCTCATTTCTTTAAAAAGGATTTAATTTGTACAGCAGAGGAATGTTAATGTATTAGTCTGTATCTTTTACCTGATACTGAGATTTGCAAAATGAAAGCTCATCTGTAATGAATACTTAGGATCACATGGAAATGCTCATTTCACATTTCTTAAATACAGCAGCATTAAAAAGAAGAAAATCCAATTTCTCTGTATTCACTGGTTTAATGGGGTGCCATCAGTTAGGGTAGACTAAAATATAGTTCTGGAACCCACTAACCTATATCCTTCAATGTCGGCCTTATCCATCTATATTAGTGCTGTGTTCAGCCAATTGCAAAATTATAAAGATTATGCTAAATTAATATCAATTTGTTTTTCCTTGTGGGTACATAGAGAATCTCTATTCCTTTCATATCGTTAACATTCGGTATAGTAGTTGTGATGGTAAATAACTAAATAATTCCCCTTTACTTCAAAAACCATAATTTCATAACTGTCCTAGTGTCAATATCTTGTTTGTTAATGCTGCAAACTATCAGTATTTATTTTTTAAGAAAGACTGATGTTGCACCACTTTTTGTTACTGTGATCATAACAAAAAAAACCTGCTAAATATATCTCAACTATGTTATCAAAATACTATCTATTCATCTTAATAGTAGTACTGAGATCACAACCAGCCAGCCAACTTTATGGATTAGGAGTATGGAAGTTCAAATTCTGCATGATTGAACCTGAATGAGAATGCTCTAAAATTATTTATTGCTTTCTAGCTTCTTTCTGGTTAAATTATTTCACTAATGATTAAAGTAATCTCCTGATTGACACCTTAGCTAATTTTTACAGCTTTCATGAAGGAAGTAGGAAAGTAAATCCAGCAAATAGGATTCTAGTAATATTGGCCATCTCTGCATTGTCATGCTTCCTTTAGTGGTCATAACCTGTCCTTTGCAAAGTGATTCATAATGTCTACTGAAAGAAGAAAAAGTAATCATTAAGCCTTTATTAAATCATTTATATAGACAGGCAAAACTGGCCATGAAATGATATTATAGTTCAGTACTCTGTCCTTTTTTATATTTTGGTTAATCGTAGTTAAGAAAAGGAAAATATTACTTGGCAAGTTATTCTCCATTATGCATAAGGCTTCCACTTTAGGGGGGAAATGTAGAAATGCTAAAAAGTTATGTATGTGTATATATAAAGAAGTTCAAAGATGGATTTGGATATTGGTTTTGCTTCTCTACTATTTGGCATGGGAGAAAGTGGCTCTAACTTTTTTCAAACATTAATCCTTGGAGTGTTGGCATTCAAAAAAGTTGTATTTAAGACCATTTGATGTGCTATTCATATTAAAAAAAAACTATTGTACTGGAAGTGGTTTCTTATCTGTGTGAAGGCTTAAAGATATTACTAAAAGTTATTTAATGTGAGAAGTGTTTTTAAACAAAAAAGATGTATACAATTGTAATTCTACTTCCACAAAAGCATTTCATTTCTTCAGATGAATGCATTTCTTAGAAGATCTGGCTGGCCCCATAATTTAAATAGAAATAAAATTTTGAAGAAACACAATTGTGTGTTTTATAATATTTATAGAGGGGGGAAGAACCCACCTGAATCAGATTATTTCTTTTAAGAGGTATATATTCTGCACTTCTTGTGAATGCAGTTGAAACCTTCATGCAATATATATACAGTATATATAAATAGCCATCTACACTTGCAACAACATATAATACTTCTCCAACCTTTGCATGTTAGGTTTATTTCTATCTTACGCAGAATTTAAATTTTGCTAATAGAAACTCTGTTTTTCCCACATATAGGTAACATCTCCTGGACTGATCTAAATCACAAACTTAACTACCCTGTCTTTCTTCAAAGTTCCATGGAAATTTATCATTTGGTGAACATGTATATTTGGGTGAAGGTGCTGAGAATTCGGTTAAGACACTCAACTGCTGCTCCACGAGAGAGGGAATGATTTAAGCCCATTTTAATATGGATTTGTTCCCCAATTCCCACAAGCCACTTGGAGAGGTGGATGAGTTTGCCCACCTGTCAATCACCATGACATCTGATGCAATCATACCATGCAGGCAAAGGAAGAGCCCAGAGTATTATGAATAAGATACTATATTGCATCCTAGGTTGCCTTGGCTATTTCCAATCTAAGGGAGCTTCACACACCTAACTTTGGGGGTCCCCCCCTCCCCATTAATCAGAGGTTCATTTACAACCTTAAAAAACAGCAGTAAAGAGCAGTTTTTTCCAGTCTCTTTATGTATATCATATTAAAACTACCTATGGTCTTCCTCTTCCTTGTTATACACTTAAGTTGTGTATCTTGAAGCCTGACTCAAAGATTGGAATGTAAAACTTAATGCACCTTTAAATAACATATTTGTTGAAGTACAGTTCTCATAATTTCTGCAAGATTCTTGACATCCCCTTGTATCTTTTACCGCTGCTCCCACCAGAATCAAGCAGACTGCCAAAATAGCAGGGTGTCCTTTGGGCTTAGCTGCAAAGCAAGATAAGTCAGGTGTTAAGTTGATCCTCACCTCTGTACAAAGGTGCAAATTATATTTAAATCTTCTTAGCGGTAAACCAAATTGGGCTACTCTAGGAGGGAACATTTAAATTGCTTTAAATTAGGATCTTTCTGAGTGTTCTTAACTTCTTAACCTAGGAATGGGTAGGGGGTATCATTAGAAGTCATATATGGATATCTGGTTTCCCCAGCTTTACTCCTAATCCTAACCTAAAATACCCTGTGAATCAGCAGGTGCCTTCATTTAGTGAATTATTTTAACACCTTGCCACTCCGTTTTGGTAGGAATAGATCTTACTTGGGGTACTAAGTCGTCATCTCTCAGTTCCCAATCTCTGCATATACAGTGGTGCCTCGCAAGACGAAATTAATTCGTTCCGCGAGTTTTTTCGTCCTGCGAGTTTTTCGTCTTGCGAAGCACGGTGTCGGAAAAGTTTTGGAAAAGCTTCAAAAATCACCAAAGTCTTCAAAAACCTCAAAAAAGGCTACCACACCGCGTGCTATGAGTTGCTCCTCGAAGTCAAGTCGCAACTGTATTAATGGTTTTAAGAAAAGGAAACAAACTTGCAAGACGTTTCCGTCTTGCGAAGCAAGCCCATAGGGAAAATCGTCTTGCGAAGCAACTCAAAAAACGGTTTTTTCATCTTGCGCGTTTTCCGTCTTGCGAGGTACCACTGTACAACTCCTTTCCCTGCTCCTCACCCTTTATTTATTTATATCCTGCCTTTCTTCCAGTACAGAACCCAAGGACTTTGTGGGTAATCTTAGAGGGCTGGGGCCATCATAACATGGCAGTGGTGGACAAGGCAATGGTGGGCAGCTCTTAGCTTTAATTGTATGGTAGAACACATCCCACCCACACAAAGTCAGAGGTTTTTACACACAGACGCACCCCTACACCTCCCATCTCATATCTAGGGAAGCATGAGGCATTATCGCAGTTCAGTGACACAATCTGGTCAAGCCAAACCACTCAAGGGTGCAAAGAAGAACGGATGAGAAAATCCTGAGGCAAGAAAAAGTGCTGGAACCAAACTATACTTGACTCACTGCTTGGTCTGCGCAGGCACCATCACATTTGTTTGTGGGTGTTACAGAGCCTGTAGGCACTGCACTGGTGACGTCCCCAATAGCACTTTGGTCCTGTTTCACACTAGTCATTTTCAATTACAAACAGCCTCACTATCTGTGGCATTGCACCTGCTTGGATAACAACTGAATAACCTTCGGGTACAGTTTGGCAGCAGTTCCCTTGATCATGGTGACATTTTGCCCAGTAGCTTTGAACATGGGAATTGTTTCTTGTTTCATCCATGATTGCCTAGTTCATACCTGGCAAGCTATACAGAAACAAATTCCTGTGTCAAGTGTCCTTTGAAGGAGAATGGACAGGGTGTATAAAATTTCTCCCTTTTTAGCCACTCCTCTTCTCCGCGACATAAATTCATCGTTAGTCTGCCCATCTCCTGAATCTTTGGGGTCTTGCAGCATTATTCTTTTCCAAAAGCTCAGCAATCTGGCAGGTGCTCTCAGCCATGTTTGAGTCTTATCCAACGGCCTCCTCAGACATGTTTTGTTAAAACATCCAGACATGTTTGTTTGTTTTTTAATATAATTTTTATTGATTTTTGCACAAATTTTCCAACATAACAACTCCAAAACATCCAGACATGTATTCTGCAAAGTGCTTGACACTCATAGTGCGTTAGTGATGGAGTTAATTCTGTTTTATTAGTTCTGAAATGCTCCCCCAATGCTAACACATCATTTCCATGCATCACTGCCAAACTTTTGGAGGCACGGACGGTGTTGAAAGCAGGATCGGCACAACCAATAGCCTCATGAGTGCAAATAATCATGAATGCACAATAAAAAGGAGATCTGGAGGAGACCCAAAGCTGGCTCCTTGTCTTCCTTCAAGACCTTGTGAATTGTTACCCAATTACTGGCCCAGAGAAGAAAATGTATGTCTGACCAAAATCCGGGGAAATGGGCAACTGTGTAAAACATACAGTCTATGGCAGGCTTCGTCAACCTTGGCCCTCCAGGTGTTTTTGGCCTACAACTCCCATGATCCCTAGCTAGCAGGACCAGTGGTCAGGGATGATGGGAATTGTAGTCTCAAAACATTTGGAGGGCCGAGGTTGAGGAAGCCTGGTCTGTGGTGTTACCTGGCCTAGCTGCTGCTGCTCTACCACTAAACTGCAAATCTAGCTGCCTACCTAGCAGAGGCAATAATTTCAGTTGCTAGCACCTCCGATCCAAGGAGCCATATCTCTTACAATCCTACTGTGTACACACGCTGGAGGTGTTCGCAGTTGCTGGGTGTCTGCTGTGCAGTTGAGATGTGTTTCCTTCTAAGTTCACAGCTCTAACCTTCAAATGTTTCTTCTTTGCACTTTGGTGCCAAGAAAATCGCTAGGAAATGAGGCAACAATTTTAGACCTCTGTGGCGTTAGAATAAGCATGACCCTTGAGAGTTGGTTTTGGTTTTAACCCAGTGTCTCCCAAAGTACCCCCTGCTTTTTTTAAACACTGGTGGATATTAATTCAGCATATGAATGTACATCAACTATGCTATCTATATTTGAAAATAAAATAGGGTGGGAGGTGGACAACAAAATGCTAAGCAGTATGGGTAGATGCAGAACACTTAACAGACTATGAAGGAGGACTGGTACTGTGTTTGCAGTGATGTAGTGGTAAACTTTGAAGTGCAGGAGCTCATCCTAACAGTTCCCATATCCACGCAGCCCCCCTCAAGAGTTCAAAACTGCAAGCCACAGTATCGACCAGCTTATTATACACACAACCCACACACCAAAGAAGGCAGAACCCACAGGGCCAGCAAGTTCAGCCTGTGATGCAATGATGATAATAATTAATAGCATAAGAAAATACAAAGGGACTTAACCGGTCACAGTCTCCTTGTGCTGATCTCACATCAACAGAGTGGCTGCATTCTTCACCACTTGCTTCTTTCCCAAATACCACTGAACAACTATCAGGAAGGGATTGCGACCCCATTTACAATTGTTAAAACTGCCGCATCTGCAACCCTCCCTTCATAGGCGAGTATTTTGGTGCAGGCTCATGTCTCCCACATCTGGGACCCAACTCTTGAGGGCACCCCCTGGGGCATGGTGCAGTTCTCAAATGACAATACTTTGTTGCTGGAAAAATACAATTTCACTGTCCGGCAAAACCTGTGGTTGACTGGAATGCGGTGTGACAAGTGTCATGGGGCACGTATTGGTTAGCACTTATGAAATCAGTGGTGACCAGTGGTAGTCTTCCTGTGTCATTTTGCGAGCACATTTTAATATGCCTTAAGGTAATTTTTGAGAGCTTTCAGCTGAAGCATTCCAGCAGAAGCAGGATGTAGCATTTAAAAAAGATTGGAAATGGGGTGAGAGAGAAACGGGTGAGCATCATTGCACTTTTTTATTATGCTTACTAAGTCACTTATTAGTGTATTACACTATTTGAAATAGTGTAATATCCATTTAGGGACGCGGGTGGCACTGTGGGTTAAACCACAGAGCCTAGGACTTGCCGATCAGAAGGTCGGCGGTTCAAATCCCCACGACCGGGTGAGCTCCCATTACTCAGTCCCTGCTCCTGCCAACTAGCATTTCGAAAGCACCTCAAAGTGCAAGTAGATAAATAGGTACCGCTCCAGCGGGAAGGTAAACAGCGTTTCCGTGAGCTGCTCTGGTTCACCAGAAGCAGCTTAGTCATGCTGGCCACATGACCCGGAAGCTGTATGCTGGCTCCCTCGGCCAATAAAGCGAGATGAGCGTCGCAACCCCAGAGTCGG